GTGTTCTGCCTGTTTAAGTTAGGCTACATTCACACTGCAGACGAAAGCGCATCAAATCTGACTTTTTTGACCATATGCGACCCATATCGGCTCATAGGATGACAGTTCTAACAGCACAAATCCGATATTTACAAATCCGACTTTGGCCACTTTCATATGTGGTACTGAATCCGATACATATCTGATGTTTTAGAAAGCGACTGCTGTTTGAATGATCATGTCACATTAAATCCATCTTTTATGTCACTGGCACAAGACAGACACCAATTATCAGTGCCGGAGAAGACAAACGAGAAAGTATGGCAGTGGAAACTGGAGACGGAGCGAGTCAATAGACAGAAAGTGAGGTTTTGGACTAGTTTAGCATATGGGGAGACAATTCTATTCAAGCTAAACTTGAATAACTAGCACTGTGGCCGCCATTTTTACTTCCGTAAACAGAGCGCGTTGTGTGTGACGTCTTCTTTTGCGCATGCCGGCCACTTTGAGGGCCGTGAACCGTTCACACTAGAGCGTGTTTGCTGTCATATTTTATTTGTGGTGTGAACAACCAGACAAAAAAAATCGGATTTGATCAAAAAATCGGAATTGAGCATTAAGACCTGCAGTGTGAACATAGCTTTAGTTTCTGTTTTTTGCCCTCCTGCAATAAAAGCTGAGTTTTGCGTTCACGTTTGCCTCCTGGAGTCTGCCTTTTGGGTCCTCCATTCCTGTCTGCTGCACACAGTCCATGACAACAGCAGAATCTATTTACAGATTTACTGTAAATAAGAAGACTGAGGTAAGGTAATTATTTTGTAGATTTATACATATAATACAACGGGACAAAAAAGACAATCAAGTTGTTTTAAAATGTGAACATGATTGAATGTAATGTTTTTTGATACAAGAATGTGTGGAAGAAAAATGAACATGGCTAAAAGAAATAAAAAATGGTGTAAAATTCTTTTTAATAACAAGATGAGGAAGACCCTGCAGAAAATGGCTTTTGAGAAAGTCATTAATGGACACAGAAGTAGCTTTTCAAGAAAATAAGGGGAATTCATTTCTGCTGCAATATTGTTTTCTTAGGTAAGACATAATCAGTCAGTTGCTTTGTTTTTTGTTTTGGCTCATATTACCATGAAGTATCAAAGCCTCTACTGCGATCTAGTGGTAAAGCATAATATTGCTATACAAGAGGCCAAAAGCAGCGAAAGCAGATGATATTTTAAGCTGAAGAGTAAATACGCTAATAGAATAACAATTCTTCAACACGTCATGGGGCATTTCAGTGAAAGAACAATGCAAAGCTTCGTTGAGATTTTCCAGTGAATACAATCACAGAGGCGGTGAAAGAATTGAAGTGAGTGAAGCTTTCAAAAATAAAAATACATTTCTCTAAAACCTTTTCTGAAGGAAGAAGAGAACACACACATGGTGCCAGATATAGTTGTACCTTTACAGGTTTTAGTTAAACAGTTGAAAATGTGCATAATATGATGCACTGTAAAAAAACAAAAAAACAAAACAAACTGTGCAACAGTACATAAAACAATGCAAAATTAGTTCCACTGTAACCAATTACAACAGGGAAGTGATGTTAATCTTATTTACTGCATCAGTATTAATAATCTCGTGCTATAGAGAGTTGCAGGAGACGATTTAACTACTTTTTGTGTTGTTTCTACATTTAATGCATTTCTACATATTATATTACTTACATATGGTATTTGGGAAATTTACTTTATTATTGAGTGTTGTGGATGTTTTCCATTTAAATAAAGCCTGCAGACAAGCGGTGAGCGGTAGCTAACATTCTTTAATCACAAACAAAGAACAGAAAAACCAAGCTTGGTGGAGAGCCTGCATGACCGCGGGGCAGACAGTCAGCAGTCTATTCCTGAGCCTAGCATGGCTCCCAGTTAAATACCTACTCCAGGAACAAAAGGCAGTACACAGTTGTTTCACACCTTAAGGTTCACACTCCCTTGCTACCTCCCAGAGTCATCGAAGAGACAAAAGATTCTTCCTGTGGAGTTGTCTGCTTCCCCCCAACTTCCTTACCAGACCCCCACCATCTGTCTAACTGCATGAGTGTGAGACATGCTAAAATCCAGTGGAACCAAGGCATTATACAATAAAATAATGTGATTAATACATAAATAAAAGAAATTCCTATACATTGAGTAAGGTCAATCTCTAGTCAGCCAGCTGCTCTCATCAAATCCTCGGGAACATAGATAAGCACAAACACATCATCAGAACTGGCAAACATTTCTCTAAGCAATATTAAAACTATTACAAAACATTTTCAGCTATAGTGAAGTCATTTTTCATTGTGTTCCCACTCTTACCAGGAAGAACACACAGCTGCTTCCTCTAATTTCTGGTCTTTTAATTCTTTCAACATTTGTCTGCTTCCCTGTCAACAAACATGTATTTTCACATTTAGAGCTTAAACCAAAAACTCATTGTGACAAATAGAGAGCACCACAACCTACATGTAACAGCAGGAGAGAAATCACTTGACCAAAAGATGCCTTTTCCAATGTCACAAGGGAAGATTAATTCCCCTGAGAGTTTTTAACATTGAGATATTGCTTCTGTACTGATATCTCTTGACAGAGTCAGATTTGGGGAATTTCTGAACTTCTGTATTAAGTGTTCAGCAAATTTTTGGTGTAGAGTTGTCAAACGGATTGAAGTGAAGGCGTACAGGAGTGGATTCACTGCACTATTTATAAATGTTAGTGCTCCAACAATGCTCCAGCTGTCTTCACAAAACTTCAGCAGTCCCTCGTTTTTCAAGGAAATAGCTGCCACACCCAACACATTTATAGAAAGATATGGCATCCACAGGACAACAGAGGTAACAATGACCCTGGTAATTAGTCTGGTGGTCTGTGAATTGTTGAAAAACGCTGCCCGATTCACCTTTCTGTAGAGATGGATGTATGTAAACATTATGACAGAAAGTGAAAGAAATACTACAAGAGTCTCTGTCAACACCACAGCCAACCTCTGGCCATCAGAAGAGTGTTTATTTTTGCATTTTGTCCACTGTCGTTGTTCCACCAGCTTTCGAACTACCAACTCAGGAGTGGACAGGATCATTGCAGCCAGCCAGAGTGGAACCAGCAGCTTCCATGCTTCAACCTGATTTAAACTCCTTTGCAGGTGAACGACCTGAAGGTAACGCTGGACACTCAGCAGAGTCACAGTCAGCAGGCTGACATGAATGGTGCAATACACAAAGTATGTAATGAGTTTGCAAGATGTCTCACCTATCATCCAGCTATTGAGGAAAGAGTAAATCCACACTGGAATGGTAAGCATGCAGAGCAGGTCTGACACAGCCAGACTAAGCATCAAACTCTGGCTCAGACTGGACATGTTCTCCCAGTTTGGCTTGAGAATGATGACAGCGATGTTTCCAGGGAATCCCATCAGGAAGCAGATGGACATCACCACTGTAGGAGCCATGCCTGTGGACCAGGAGGTGATGGGTGAATATCCAGGAGTGGAGGAAAAGTTAAGGGTATTCACTGTGGAGTTGAATTCCGCCATGCTTCAAGCTTGCTGACAATGTTGTGCACTAAGCAAGTTATTATAATAGATGTACCATCAGGTGAACAAGTTGTTCTCATTTGATGCTGTTAAAGGGGAACTAATAAGAAAGAAACTGTTGTGTTGACGTAAACACCTGCTGTCATTGTTTTCAGGATTTTACATGCCTTCTGTATGCATTCTGTCAACACCCAAACTTGATTCATAGTCCGTATCTCTTAAGCTTGAGCATACGCTTTCATATTTAGGAGTTCATGCTATACAATTGGAGATTTTGCCATTTTTTTCCAACACTGACACATTTAAAAAAGGGAGAAATGATAATATCATATAATAAATCAAAATAAAGGCTGACAACACGAGACAAACAATAAAATCCCCGTCTGATAGTGATGGGCCACAGTGTTTCGAGGCTTTGAAGTATGTGTCAAGAAATCCAGGAAGTCCCTTATCAAGCATGTATTGAGGCTCGCTTGCAAATGAGAAGTGTAGGGACTAACGCGTTATTAAGTAACGTGTTACAGTAACTACGTTATTATTGTGGTAACGAGCACGGTAACTAGTTATTATGCCAAAATGAGGAACGCGTTAATCGTTACTGGGATTTAGATAGGGTCGTTATTCGTTACTTCTTGTGGTGGCTATCGCGGAGCTTCCACAGATTCAGTAACATTAGCTAGTGATGGAGGCCAGCGGGTGGATGAGGGAAAGAGGAGGCAGGAGGAGGAGAGACCCAAGGCGGCCGCCGGTCCGAGTGTCAGGTGAACTGAACTTCAGGTAAGAAGTTATGACCTGATGTCTATCTGGGTCAGATATAAACCAAGTTTAGGTGGAGTTTATTTTCGTTATGCTGACTTTTTCGTGCAGGGTACTAGCTAGCATGACGGAGTTTCTATACAGCTGGGTGGGTGCCATGATGTTACTGATGTTGAACTTTATTATGTTCATAAGGTTAATTATTAGAGTTGCCGTAAAAAACGGAATCATCCCATATTCAGAGAAAATATTACGCGTTTCATATTGAGGTGAAAAGGAATGCAGTTTGTCCCGGACTTTAGCTAGAATGAAAAAGACACAAAGCTGGAGTTATTCTGTGTCTTTACGCTGTCAGCTGCCTGTTCTCCTCTAATTCTCTCCCCCTCCCTCTCCTGTTGCTACTTCAATCATGAAACTGATCAATGATCAGCTGATCGGCTCTCTTGTTTGTTTATCGCCCACTTTGCGCCAGAAAGAGGAAACCAGCAGATGTCGCGTTAAACAACAGCAGCATGTTTAAGCTTGATCAGCTGTTGTTAGAATTTATTTAATATTCATTTCTAGTATCAGCTGATGTTTGCTGGAGCCACAGCTGTAAAAGCTGCTGGTCATTATGTCGGTTTGGATATGTGGTGAGAGGGAAACATGAAGATGAAACCAGGAGATGTCTTTACTGAATCATCAGAGCTGAACAGGTGATGGAGAACCAGGTTTACCTTTTGGGTGACATGAATGAGTTGAAGGGAAGTTATGAACTGTTTCTGAGAGACAAATAACACCAGGATCCTTTTCTATGCTGACAAGACAGCTGGTAACTGTGCAGGTGCAGGTCTAGCAATGTTTTGCCAGGGGCGCCAGGTAGGGCATTAACAGGGAAACGGGGGCACAAAGAAATACTTTTCTCTCTTATTCTCATTTAAAATATCTAGCTTTTAAAAAATAATTATCTGAATCTTACAACAAACGATTGCATATATACCATCAAAACAGTGTACACAAAGAGGTGAAGAGCTGCTCCACCCATGAGGTGATCTCTACCAATAAAGTATTACAAATAATATGCCTGTAAATAATGAAATGTGTTACTACTATAATATACACAAGTCTGTTTTCTTTTTTTCATTCCATTGGGAAGTGTTAATTGTGTGTCAATGGCAACAACACTGCATCTATGGGTATCATCTAGGCAAGATTACTGTGGGATAGTTTTGCACTCCTGCCTCTCAGCACAATGTGAAACGGTTTCTCCAAAGCCAGAGTGGTTATTAGCAAAAAGAGAAACTGAGTCTAAGCACAGTGGAAAAAATAAAAATAAAAATTATAAAAATTATAAAAGTCAACATCCGCACAGTATTCATTAGCACAATCACTGTCTCATCATTTGAAAAGACTGTGATTTTAACATCAACATTTCATGTCATGGATTTGGATTGGATTTATTCAAAAATATACTGAAATCATACTGACAAGGTTTTTGACATTGATAGACTTCTACTACTGTCAACCGCACATCAATCAAAATGTTTTCTTTGATAAATGAATGAGCCACATACAATCAAATTAGAGTTGTTGTTGTTGTTTGTTTGTTTTTTTAAATTCTAGGCAGTGATTACGTCTATGTTGACACTGTTGCATGACAGCCAAAACGACGTCACAAATAATTGAAATGACAATAATGGTTTTGACCAGCAGGGGGGTATGTTTACACATGAAGCCTTAAGAAACTAACCTTTTTTTAAAATCATTTAAATGGAAAGCTACAAGTCTCCATGAGGCTTCATCTGTCACTATCTGACAACATGTTTAAATATACATTTATTATAACAGTGCTATTTTACATGGAACCGTTAGTATCAGCAAACAGGGGTGAGTCTAAAAGGGGGCATGGGGTGTACTAGACCCTTTTTTTTTAATGGCTTTCGTAACCAAACAAAGCAATTATCTTTATTATCTCACATCAGTATAATTTTATATGAATTAAGCATATTTCACAAGATTTTCAGTAATTATTAAATTGTTGTGTGTGGACATCGGGAACATTCTAAAATTGTTGTAAAAACACCAATAACTAATTTTAGGGGAGGAAAAAGGATCACAATGTACACCAGGCACAACTGTACATGTTGCATCTGCAAGACAAATATAAGAAACTTAAGTTCAGTATCAGTAGCTTGCTAATATAACACACTACCTTTACTGTAGTTAACAGAGGTGTCAACTAACTATTTTTTAAGTACTGAACCAACCCTTTGCTTTCATAATATTCAGAGGAGAGTGGGCTTGCTAGCAAAGTTAATGACTGAGGTAATGTTAGTGGTTTCAGTTTTTTAGCTGCTTGTACCCAACAGTTAGGATTCAGTACACATGCCTCTTTAAATTTAGACAGATGTATCTATTCTAATGTGTCCTTCACTCATACAGACTTGTTATTGTTTCTTTCAGTAGATTCATTATGACTTGTTGGTGTCAAGTCAAACCTGCCTTACTTACCAAAAAGGTAAATTTTCAACCATAAGCATTTTAAGGATGTTCAGAAATTACACATCTCAGTGCTGTGGTGTTTTAGTGAAAACCCTAAAACTGCTCCTTGGTATCCTACTTATAAATAACCATATTTTATTATGACTATTATAACGACTATGGTTTTTACTAGCAGTAACTGTACATAGTTAAACAACGTACAGCAGTGATGGTGTACATGGTTTTTGGTATTAGTAACAGATGGATAAACATATCTGTATTTATAAATGAAATACCAAGGAGGAGTAATGATATATAAATGATAAATTAAGCACTCACTACAACCATACTAATACTTACTAATGCTTAATAGTGTTACATTATTATAAAGTGTTTTATTAAAATACACACAAACCCCCATTAGACAGTTAGTATAATAAAAAAAAACATAGGATTGCTGTATTTTTAAACCCATTTACTAGTTCAATAAAAGTATTTTGATTTTTATTTAATGGGTGTTACATTATTATGACATTAATTATGGATTAAAAGTAAAAGTATAACATTGCATATAAGATACATAATAAAATCCAACAGCACTGTTATGTTAGGTCTGATTAATTGTATTAGAATAGTGATTGGCGATATTATAGGTAATTTTGTTGTTTACACACAATTATTTTACTGTATATTTCTGTTGTTGTTGTTTTACAGTGCAGGACAGAGAAGATCCAGCATCACAGGGGGAAAATCATTTGATAAAAAAATCTAAATAATTAAAGAGCTTTCAACGTTGTCATCTTACGTCTGAAACGGTATTTGCTGACTTAGATTGTGGGGTAATTCTGAGCTTCTGCATTAAATGTTCAGCATTTTTTTGGCACAGAGTGGACAAACCATTAGAAGTAAAGGCATACAGGAGTGGATTCACTGCACCGTTTGCAAACGTTAGTGCTGTAACGGTGCCCCATGCTGCTTCGCAAAACTTCAGCAAGTCCTTATTGTTTAGGGAAATAGCTGCCACACCCAGGACATTTATGGCAAGACATGGCACCCACACGACAAAAAAGGTTACAATGATACTGGTAATGAGTCTGGTGGTCTGTGGATTGTTGAAAAAGGCTGCCTGATTCACCTCTCTGTAGAGGCAGATGTATGAAAAAACATTGACAGAAACTGAAACAAAACCCACAAGTATCTCTGCCAACAACACGGCCATTGACTGGTTCACCGAATAGTATTGATGTTTGCAATATGTCCAATCTGACTGTTCTACCAGCTGTCGAACCACTAAAGCAGGAATGGACAGGATCATTGCAACCAGCCAGAGTGGAACCAGCAGCTTCCATGCTTGTATGTGGTTTAAATTCCTTTGCAGGTATACCACCTGAAAGTAACGCTGGACACTCATCACAGTCACAGTCAGCAGGCTGGCATATATGCTGCAGTACCCAAAATATGTTATGATCTTGCAGCCCACCAGGCCCAGGGTCCAGCTGTTGAGGAAAGAGTAAATCCAAAATGGAACGGTAAACATGCAAAGTAGGCCCGACACAGCCAGGTTCAGCATCAAACTCTGGGTCAGACTGGACATGTTCTCCCAGTTTGGCTTGAGAATGATGACAGCGATGTTTCCAGGGAATCCCAGCAGGAAGCAGATGGACAGCACTACTGCAGCAGCTATACCACTGTAGTCCCATGAAAAATGGGGTGAATATCCAGGAGAGGAGGAGATGTTAGAAGTAACCACAGCGTTGGTGAGCTGTGCCATGCTGCAAGCTTCCAGGTAATGATGTGCTCTGAGCAAGTGA